CACACATCACAAGAACAGGATCAATCGACCAGCGGACAATCCTTCTGTGAGTCCATTCCTAGTACCGTTTATTTCATTATTAATTGTTATGTAGTATCTTTTACACTACGAAGTCTTGTAGATTGATGTGTATTATGTGGCATCGTTGTTTCACCTAACTTACGGCCCCAGATACTCGCGGAGGTACATACAGCGCCTCCCGGCATTTGCAAGATAAAAGCACTAGCCAGAGATTATATTTGGTGGCCTAACGGATAAAGATATTGACCGACCAGTCCGGACATGTGAGGTATGTCAACGGTTTCAAAGAAGTANTTGGCCAGAAAATCCGTGACAGCGGATTTATGTAGGTTATTTTGGTCCTCTCGACAACTGCATGTTCTTACTGGTGATTGATGCACATTCAAAGTGGATCGAACTTTATCCTGTGTCCACCGCCAGTTCGGCGACTACAGTAAGTTGCCTGCGTACATCATTCAGCACATTCGGTATTCCACAGACTCTGGTGACCGATAACGGTACTCCGTTTACCAGTAAACAGTTTAAACAATTCGTCCAGAGAAATGGCATACGTCATGTCAGAACTGCCCCTTACTATCCAGCCTCTAACGAGCTGGCGGAACGAGTCGTTCAAACCGTCAAACAAGATTTACGGAAACAACAATCTGGAACGATAGGGACCCAATTGGCGAGGTTCATGTTGTCATATCGTACAACCCCAACGGAAGGCACGGGAAAAAGTTCGGTGGAACTAATGTTTGGACGTCAACTACGAAGGAGACTGAGTCTCGTTTTCCGAGAATTAAGAGCTGATATCTTGGGAAAACAAGGGAAAATGAAAGATAGATATGACGATTCAGTCATACACAGGAAATTCGAAGAAGACGACCTAGTGTACATCAAATTACCACATGAACCATCTTGGGAGCCGGGTGTAGTAAGGTACACTGACTGCCAGCTAAGGGGAATCGAGCTCGCGGACAGAAGAATAGTGACACGCTATAACGACCAAGTTCGTACTAGACATGTACCCAAGGATAAACCATACGAAACAACTCCTGTCATTGAGAATAATTCCACATCCCTCCATGAGGATTCAGCACCTAAGCAGACTCTCCACAGATCAAGCAGAGAATCCAAACCAGTGGACAGATATCAGGTAGGATAAGGTCTAATCACACAAAAGGGAAAGGAATGTGTCAACGTCGATTATGCCATCGATATATTCTCCGTCTCACTCTCAGACAAACACCAGTGTTTACGTCACCCACATACACATGCACGCACGCGGGAGCTCGCACACGCACACAGGCACCACGACTCCTTCCTATTGGTTGACCTGTTAGTCATTGTCCTACTGTAGATTGTCACGTGACGCATGATTCATTCAGTAAACCTACGTGCTCTGGACTATACGTGTTTTGTGCCTTGTCCTCCGGGCCAACTACGGGTTAACCTGATTGAGACTGTAACAATGGCGATTACAGACATTTTGTTATCGGGTGCGATGGTAAACATGTCAAAAGGCATACTGGCAAGTCGTGCATGATCGCGATTTTAAGAACCCATGCTGACCAGCATGTATAAGATTATAGGAAAGTAGGAAGTCAGATATGCACTGTTTAACCAGACTTTCCAGTATTCTAGAGGCAATAGGAGTGTGGCTAATCAGGCGATAATTGGAGGGGTCACTAACTGGGCCTTTTTATGCATGGGGATAATAAGAGCTAACTTTCACTGAGATGGAAAGATACCAAAATTCAAGGACAAGCTGAATTAATTCAATAATTAAGCTGCGACATGGGTTCCATCGTATTGAGGCGTTGACGGTGGAATGCCATCATGCCGAGGACGTGAGAATGGTTTTACCTTCGCAGGTATTTGGGTTACTTCATCAAGGGTAAAATTCAGTTACCACAGTTGCTCAATCACTTGCATAGCCGGAAACCTCCCTTGTTAAGCGCCACTCTTAATTGGTCTGCGAAAAGCACTGCTTTCTCGACAACGTCAAACGCTGCCAAATATTAGTCGACGTAAGCATATTGTCCAATTGCACATCTCACTCGATCAATTCTTATATCTGTGAGTGATTCAACCGTGCGGTGCGGGGCGTAGTTTGTCCAAAATAGTGACGAAATGGCACCAAGTGGGTGAAATCAAACTCTTTATCCTTTGGTTGTTGATTGAGATCTCCATCAGGCCACGATAAGAACCTAAGTATCCCCGAGTCACGTTCAGGCACCCTAAGCTGCAAAAGCATCTCTTATACGTCCGCTGCTACAGCTACTTTGCCTAAGCAAAAGCGCAGTAGTACTCTTACTAAGTTAGCTACGGTATTTTGTCCTGACAATAAGTTTGAATAAAGGAGCCAAAAACACAGGTTTGCACAATGTATCCTGGATCATTTCGTTGCATCTGTACACGTGCATACTGCAGTCTATGTGATCATTAATATATGGTAAGTAAATAACAAAATCATAGGCGGAGAAAGATTGCGGTCAAAGTTACTCACCAAACACATTTGTTACCAAGGTAGCGCCAGAGTGATAAACCATTCACGCTGTTTACATAGTTTGGGATGGTAATTTTGAATGGCTAGTGCCTCGGCGTATTTCAGAACCTTGGTGTTGTTTGTGTTGTAGGGCGGAGAAAGATTGCGGTCAAAGTTACTCACCAAACACATTTGTTACCAAGGTAGCGCCAGAGTGATAAACCATTCACGCTGTTTACATAGTTTGGGATGGTAATTTTGAATGGCTAGTGCCTCGGCGTATTTCAGAACCTTGGTGTTGTTTGTGTTGTAGAGGATTCTGAACGCATCACGCAGCATGACACAGTGTTTCATTTTGACCAGGTGTTGTATGATCGACGAACTGAGTTTTCTACGCGCCATTGGTGACCTCATACTTCGGAAGTTTCCACTCATTGTTTTTTGAAGCCAGACCGGGATGTGCTCGGTTACTCGATAACGTTCTGCCGGTGTAGATGGCCGAGCATCCACACTTAAACTGATTGATAAAATTAGATTTGGCGTGGAGAGACAGCGGTTCTTTCACCGATGGTACTGGCAACCCGGTGGTTGTAAAAACAACAATGGGGTCAGCCGCGTATTAAGTCCGCTTAACAGTCGATTTTTGCGCTTGGTAATCAGGCAGTTGATATCGTCAACTTTGAAGGGCAATTGCAGGACCACTCTCATCTTATCTGCACCTGGTGTTTTTTCCCGAGTATGGTTGGGTCGAGAGTGCTTTGAGATGAAATCTTTTGGATATCCGTTAGAGTGTAGAACTTTTCTAATCTTTTCATATTCGGTATCAAATGTATCCGTTGTGCAAATCAGCCGCGCCCTGTAGAAGAGCGTTCAAACTAAACCAATCTTATATCCCATTGGAGCAAAGCTGGTAAAATGGAGATATTGTCCGGACCATGTAGCCTTCCGGTACACAGATATCCTGATTGACCCATCGGTTCGACGTGAAACTTCCACATCCAAAAAGGCGATGCTGTCTTGCGTTTCAGTGTGGCGTGTCAACGTTATGTTTGGGTGGAGATTATTCAAGTGTTCAAATAATCTCTCTCCGTCTTTTTTGCATCAAAAATGATAAATATATCACCAACATACCGGTAGTATAGATCCAGCTTTTTAATTTCGTCCCTCAACTGATGTTCTAGATGTCCGACGAAAATGTCCGCAAGAATGGGCCCCAGAGGACTGCCCATAGCGACTCCATCTATCTGTTGATAGCGTTCACCTAAGAAGGAGAACTTCACATTATGGGCACAACAACAAAAGCCTTTCCAGTTCATCTGCTGGTAGTCCAACGTGAATGTTCTTATCTTCCATAGTTTGACTAATGATCGCGATGGTCTCCAGTAGGGGGACGTTGGTAAACAGTGCACTTACATCCATAGTTACCATATGCTTGTTTTGAATGCTTTTGTCTTCCAAAAATGTGCACAGTTGAAAACTGTCTTTCAAATTGTATTGGGAAATGGAGTCTCGCACCGGTTTTCGAGTTTCTGCTAACCACTTGGCTAATTTGTGTTGTGGCGAGTTGCACATGGACATAATGGGTCGCAGTGGAATGTCTTCTTTGTGTAGTTTTTGCAAACCGTAAATCTGTGGCGTTTTATTCCCTCTTGGACGTAATTGTTTCACCGTGGATTCCCGAATCAGT